TTGATGGAAAAGAAGTGTGAATTATGTCATTGCTATTTTTTGAGTCTGTCTGCTTGGCCTGGAATTGTAGACAGGACGTTTCCAGGGAAAGGGACTCAGTTTTCTCTCTCAGTGAGCTTTCTTAGGATTCCACCCAGCTCCCTTGTTGTAGATGATGTGTGTTCTCCCCTCAGTGAGGTCCTGTCACCTTCTGGAGAGAAGCACGGTTTCATTCGCTGTAATTCACACATTCACATGACCTGTAGGTCACTGTGCTTGGGCTCTACCAGCTCAGATGGTCTCCGCTGGCATAATCTGAGGTTTGGTTCGGGCCATTCAGAAGACGAGGACCATCTTCATGCTCCATGTTCTGCTAAGGGAGGGACGAGGACTGCTCCGTCACTGCTATATCCCTCCCCAGCCTTAAGAGAATTTGACAGTCTCACACTGCTCAGTGAATGACTCCTCTTGTTCCCCATTCCATAGAGTTCTAGAAGCTTTAGATTCTTTGGAATAAGGAAAATACAAGAGCAAGGCTGCAAAACTGCTGACATTCACATCGGTGTTGGAGAAAACCAGAAGACAGATAGAGAAAGGAGATTACTACAAGCAGAAGAGCCGATTTCCAGTGCTGCGCGGCCTGAAGAAGCCCCACAGGCCTGGATGGAGTCTCTCAGCCTTGGCAGTACCCGGATGTCCACAGGGGCCTGGCAGAGGGAGCTGCTTGGTGCTGTGGTCAACCCTCTCTGAAGAGCCGCCCAGGCCAGAGCAGGCAGAAGCTGTTCCAGGCTCTTTAGCTAAAAAGGGCTTCCCCACTGGAGAGGTGTGGTCTCAGGGCTGTGCCATCTTCATGTGACCATTTTCCCTTCACTCTGGAAGTTGTCATCATTCCAGGCCACCCCACCCACATGTGTTTCTGATCCCTGGTTGTCAAGACAAACTCTGAAAAGCCCAGCCCTGAGAGAGGAGAGGGACAGGGAAAGTGTCAAGGGATGTGGGAGAGATGAAAAGGCAGAGGTGGAGC